ATGCCATACCACATTAAGATTCATAAACTCAATGTAAAGCATAAAATGAGGTTTTGAATGATGGGACATGTCGTAAATAAATAGAAAGTTTTTGGATATTTTTCAAGCAGTCTTTTGTGTTTTTGTTGATTGAGGACATAAAAGAGCTGTCACAGCAGAGCTTGTCTTGTGTGTCAAGTCCTGCGATGGCACGCATTCAGCTGATGATGATGTATGTGATAACATGCACACATTGGAAACCATGTACATTTCATTTAAGTTGGTTTATGCTGCAGTTTCAACAGATTTTTTTTAAGTCATGCATTATTATTACTACATTTATTTTAGAATAGAACCCTATGACTTTGTATGTGTTAAGGCGTAAAGCTTTGTTATGCATTATTAAATGTTCTTGTTATTGTTCTGGCTTTATGTCAGAATTAAAACATTCAAAGCAAGTCGGTTGTTACAGTTGCTGTATAAGATTTATTAAAGTTTAAAGTTTATTCAAGTTTTCTGAATACTTTGGGAATGAAATGTCCATGAAATGACCTGACCATGATTCATTGTAATTTGCCTGTAACATGAAATATGAATTGACAATTATGAGGGAATACAAACATAGCACAACTACAGCTGAGATTGGCTCGATACCAGTTTGACGCTGTGCTAGACGTTCTTCAGTCAAAGGGTATTCAAACCTCAATTACACTGAATGGCTGGTATTGTGTCCCATTTAGAGTCTTTAGCATTCTTTTAAAGTAAACGTTAATGGCCGAATGATAAATACAAGTATCAGTGTAATACATTATGTGAAAAGTTAATTAATCAAATGTTTTAGATCCAGTCTTCAGTGTATCTCTCTCTCTCTCTCTCTCTGTCAGGACGTGCCAGATTTTGGTCTGATATTCAAAGCAGTTAACACCTTGGCTTGTTAACTCTTATACCTTTACAAGAGATATAGATACAGAAAGAGCAGGAAGCATAAGATAAATTGATAAAAATAACTGAATAAAATTTACTGAAGAATCTTTGTTGCATTACTTTTTATGATCAGTCTGTCTTTGTCTGACCAGCATAAATTCCACAACTGTCACCAAGCAAATACAACTGCTGCTTCCCAACATCGTCTTGTGTATTGTAATCTCAAAGATTTTTTCATCACAACTCAACATAAGATTAAACATTAACAATGGTTAATCACAGTAAAAAAAAAGTAAATGAATGTTGATTACATTAAGAAATGAATACATAAAGGTAAAAAACAGATAAAGATTAATGTGAATGAAGAGGTCTGTAACTGTCATCCAGATGTTGTGCAAAGTGTTTAAATCCTGAAAAATGCAAGGAAAACAATTAGTGTGTATTAATTGAACACTGCCTCCTGTTGCACAAATGGTGAGTACAAACACACCGTTATTCATACACTGAGTTCTTGTGAGGTCTATTCATCTTTATATAAAGCTGCTATGATGAGGGCAGGGTCAGCGCTAAGTGGGAGCTAGGCTGGACATTGGCCACCCAGTGTTGCTGAAAAAAAACAGGGCAATGAGCAGAATTCTTTCTTCATTTTGGCCAATATACGGGACATTGTGGCTAACACAAGACTTTTTTGGCAACACTATCTGTTTTCATAGCAGCCGCTGGCTTACACTGATCACGTTAACGAGTATTTCTAAACGACCGATTTTACTTCCAAGTTTTAAAGGGGTCATATGACGTTGCTAAAAAAGAACATTATTTTGTGTATTTGGTGTAATGCAATGTGTTTATGACGTTTAAGGTTAAAAAAACACATTATTTTCCACATACTGTACATTATTGTTTCTCCTCTATGCCCCTCCTGTCTGAAACGGGTTGATTTTTACAAAGCTCATCGGTCTGAAAAGCAAGGTGTGCTGTGATTGGCCAGCTATCCAGTGCGTTGTGATTGGCCAAATGCCTCAAGAGTGTGACGGAAATGTTACACTCCTTACAAAACTGTGATGCCGTGTCCCGGCGCGACGAGACAAAAACAATCAAACCCATTATAAACGAGGCATTTGTTGCATCCAGTGGGAACATAATTGCTGATTATAATGACTTATACTGTCTTTTTACACGTTGCGTTGCATCGCGCTGCGTAAACATAAAACCATGTCTGCATTTGTGATCGGAGAAACGACAAACAACAAGCGCTACTCTACACTGCTCAAAACTCGCGTTTGAATCGTCAGTGGCAAATATGAAAACATACTTACAGGCTGTGAGTCAGAACAGCCGGCATTGTGGTCTACTCTCCCAGGTTCAGGAAACAGTCCTCCGTAAAATGCATTGCACACGAATATTTGGTTTGAACTGTTCTGGAACAGTGTTGTAAATACAACTTAACCACTGATTTCTAGTTGTGTCCTCTTTTGGAAGGCCAAACAAAGTATTTTCGCTTTCGCAACGAAACACACAGCGTCTCCACGACACGGCGGCGGCGGTAACAATACTACAGCGAGAATCAAAGGTTACACCTTCTTTCTTTGCGTGAACTCATCGGTCTGAAAAGCAAGGTGTGCTGTGATTGGCCAGCTATCCAGTGCGTTGTGATTGGCCAAATGCCTCAAGAGTGTGACGGAAATGTTACACTCCTTACAAAACTGTGATGCCGTGTCCCGGCGCGACGAGACAAAAACAATCAAACTGCACAAACCTCTGCTGAACCGTGACTTGAACTGTGGTCTCGCACTGATGACGTAACATCCAGGTAGGTTATGATTGGTCGATGGACAGGCTCAAATCTGATTGGCTAAAGAGTACGAGTGACTCGCGTGGGAGGAGTTCGCTGCCAGGAAAGACACACAAATCCACACAAAATTGTTTTTTGTGAATATATTTTTTTTTCATGCATGTGAATTGGGTTTCATGCATGTGAATTGGGATACGGATGTGTGCATCGTGTCTTTTGCGTGAATTATTATTGAGTCTAATCTGCTTCCATAGTTTGTAGCTATACTACTATTTATATACTACTTTAAAGGATCTTTTGTTCATCCGTATGTACACCAGTTTAAATGATGCACCAATCATCTTTTATTAGCAACTGTATGTGTACTAGTTTAAATCATTGTTCATATGTAGCCATATTCATGCTAGCTGTATAAAATGTTTTGTCCGTAAACATATTTATATGCAGCCAGAACTGTCATTATTGTATAATGTGTGATAGGAATTGCTCCTTAAACTGAACAAGAAACATGGATGTCAAAAGTTATCAAATATACAGCTATTTTATAGTAATGTCTTGATAATATCTTTGATGCTGATTCTCAGACTCAAACTAAGTCGTCTTTAGTATTAGTTCCTAGAATTCTTATAATTCAACATCAGAGTTGCTTATATGGAAATCTGCTCCAAGTTTAATAGCAAGTTTCTTGCATTTGCGAAGAGAAATGGAGAAGAGAAACCAATCATCTGTTTTACCGTATATGTGTGTGGTTTAATACTTCAATCACTTCTTGTTCTGCTGGAATTAGTGCAGAAGTGTGCGTGGATGTGAATGAGTCAGTGGTGTTTTCTACTCTCCTCTGTAGTAGTTGACTGCAGTTCAAAGAGGAAAGATCGTAATATTACAGCACCGTTGATTTGGCATGAGCCTGTGTGTGTGAAGCTATTTTAAGCCTTGATTCAGTCTGACTCACTCAAAATGACAGATTTCGTTTGAGAGAGAAAGAGCTTCTTTATTCCCAAATCTTTGATGTGTCAGATCTAACAGGACACACTGGAAATTCCTGCAGCATAGAGCGTCCGGATTCATTTGCAGCTCTCACAACTTCCCGGAATCCGCTCTCATTTTTTCCCAAGGAGATTTGGTGTGCGTGTGTATTTTGTGAGTGTGTATATGTGTGTGTAGGCGTAGGTCGAAGGTTTCAGATCACGGGTCATAGCTCCATTCTCTCTTAATTTCCAGATGAGCATTCTTAGCTAATCCCAGTAGAACAAGGAAATCATCCCCCTCTGTTTTCCCTCTCTCCGTTCAAACCCACACTGGAGTGTGTCATGCACTAGAAATCTATGTTTTATCATTGATGACATAGTCCTTGTTTGTCAGATTGTATGTCTGAGTGGTGCATTATGTTTTATTGATTTATAAAGAAACTTGTTTGGTTTTGAGTCAGTATGGGAGAACAAATCTATGGAAGCTTGTTTCCACCACAGGATAAAAAATAAAAGAGTCAATTGCAACTTTTTATCTCTCTGACTTTTTTCTTGCAAATGTGAACTTATAGCTCACTATTCAGACTTTTTTTTCTCAGAATTGTAAGCTTATATAGCAGTTCTGAGAAAAAAGGTCAGAATTGTGAGATAAAAGTCACAATTAGCTAAATGTATTATTTTATCCTGTGGCCGAAAAACAAGCTTATTCCATAGGAGCAAAAAAAAACGGAACTGAGAGATGTAAACTCAGAATTCTAAGAAAAGAAAAACAGAATTGCATGATGTAAACTCTGAGTACTGAGAATTCTGAGTATAAACTGCAATATCTTGCAGTTCTGAACTTTTTGCAAGGAAAAAAGTTTTTTTTTGTGCAATTTTTACTTTTCTCCGAGTTGCCTCTTTTAATGGAGTCTGGCAGGAACAAGCTTCCATACAATTCAGAGTTTATTTCTCAATGTAAAATTTTACATTTGCATTTATTTTGCAGACACTTTTATCTCACAAATGAGAACAATATAAGCAGCAGTAGTGTTCAGTTCCTGAGTAATAATTCTTATAATGCCGTGTCAGAGTTGCTGTTGTGGAAATCTGCTCTAAGTTTAGTAGCTTTTAAAAAGACAAATAGAGAAGAGCAACTTTTTCAAGAGAAAACATTTGCTACCGTACAACATTTAGGCTAATGCATTTACAAGGGTAGTAAAAATGCAACATACAAGCACAATATAAATAGTAAAGGAGGTTTTCAAGTTTATATATGGAAGCAAATGTTTCTAAAGACATTATGTAACTGTTATATGATTATATTAAGAAAAAGTGTTGCTTTCTTTGTGTTTTAGGACTACAAAACTCCAAAGCTTACTGTACCCTGTTCAGACATCCAAGAGATTCGACGCTGTAATCGCCTAGAGATGCCAGACAACATGAACACATTTGTCTTAAAGGTGAACGAAGACACATACTGTCATAAATTATTACACACTGATTCATTTTATTGATAAACTAATATATTCAAGAGGCTGATTCTTTTGGATGATATTAGGCCATTTTAAGAATATGTGTATGCACGTCCTGTTTTCAAAATTATTTTGGTGCAGGTTTTTAGTAAATATTGCATGCAATAAATCAATGCTTATTCAATTTTATTACATTTATATAGAATTATTGAACTAGTATGTAATATATAAAGTGGGGTCCAAAGGTTTAAGACCACATTGAAAGTATTTATTTTTTTATTTTACAATTATACAAATGTTTCTTTATAACCTTATGACCTTCTTTATAAACTTTCAAAAATATTTCAGATTGTGCACAATTTTTAGGACTGATCATGAAGTAAACGAGTGTCACTGATTATGTGGAATCAATGGTTTTTGGAACCCGCTGTATATGATTTGAAAATCTTGTTTGACTCTTCTTGGAAATTTAATCGTTTCAGAACTGGAAAGGAGAACTCAGTCTTTGATTTTTTTTTTTTTTCTTTTTTTTTTCTTTGCTTTCTGCTGAAGTCGTCATGATTAGTGGTTGACCAAAATGGGTTTTCCTTTGGTCTCTGCTGATATCTAGAGAGCAGTGGCTGATGGCCAATCTAATGCAGTCGATGATGCCAGCACCACGTGGTGCGACAAGCTTTTTTCTATCTGAAACTATACAGTCTTAATAATTACTATGCATGCAGTTTTTATGCCTAATAGAATTCAGAATAGTTTTTCATTTAAATATATTAAAATAAAAGTTTTCTATATTTAAATAAAAGCTTTTATGTTCTCATAATAATTGAGAGACTACATGGAATAGTATCTTTGAAATGTATATATTTAAAAAAAAAAAGAAGCTTTTATGACCTCATAATTATTGAGAGACTACATGGAATAGTATTTTGGAATGTATATATGTATTTAAATAAAAGCTTTTGTGACCTTATAATTGAGAGTTATACATTTAAATAAAATGTTTGTATATTTAAATAAAAGGTTTTATGACTATATGTGTATATATATCATTTGTATTTAATTAATTTACATTTTTTATTTATATTTTATTAAATATTTTATTTTAGCAATTTGTTTGCAAATCTAGCTTCAAATTTACTCAAAAATATTGTAAAACATGATGCATATAATAATCAAAATAATCCAAAGTCAGCCAATTAAAGGGATAGTTCAAGTTCAAGATCACGGTCCAGAAACGTAGCAAGGAGGTCGGTAAAATAATCCATGTGACATCAGGGGTTCAACTGTAATCTTACGAAGCTGCAAGAATACTTTTTGTACGCAAAGAAAACAAAAATAACGATGGGACAGAGAGCTCTCAGAATTCATCAAAAATATCTTAATTTGTGTTCTGAAGATGAACGGAGGTCTTACGGGTTTAGAACGACATGAGGGTGAGTAATTAATGAGAGAATTTTCATTTTTGGGTGAACTAACCCTTTAATCGGCCTGAAGAATAACTCTCAGATCCTGTATTTGGTATGCATATGAAGGTTCAGTAAGAATGTTTTTTATGAATCTCTTACGAAACAATCAAGTTCATTTCTAAATCTTTTATTGTCTTCTGTTCTGTTGGTTGATGTGTTTCTTTTTTTCTCCATTCTCCGCTCAGGTTACTGGTCATCCGGGTAGTTTTCTATTTGAGGCCGATAATGAGCAGCAGGTGAGCTCTTGGACCACAGAGCTCAGAGAATGCATCACCAGCAGGTGAGAAGCGGCGCTTTCTGCGTTTGAACTAAACTTACCTCTGAAGATCCCAGACATCTGCTAAAGTTCCTGACATTCCCCTACTGAGAAAACCCACTGACTTCCTCTTTTACACACACACACAGAATAAAACCAAACTTAGTGCTAAAGAAATCCTCATCAGTTGAGTTATCGCATATTTTAGTATGTTTAAAAGTCTTAATTTAGATGTGCTTGGTTTGTTTGCTTGCAGACATGTCCACACACACACACACACACACACACCATCTGTGTGTTCTGCACATGCTGAGTCTTTTACAAAAAGTGTATTTGTGTGTGTGCAAACGCATGCGTTTCATTTCCTTTTATTGGTGTGAGGGTACTGAGAACTCAAGCCTGTGTGAATATATCAATGAGTTTTAGGAAGAGAGAGAGAGAACGAGAGTGAAGTCTTCCTGTTATTCTGATTACTAAGAATCTCAAGAACTTGACTCAGCACATCTAATGGCCTCCTTTCTCTCCATGCCCCCTTCTCTCTCTTTTTCTTTTCTCTCTCTCTCGTTAGCCTTTTTTTTTTTACCCTTTTTTCAATCCACACTTTATGCATGCGTTCGTCTTGACATAAGAGCATCGTATACAATAGTGTTTTCACTTGTCCAAGAATTACACGACACATTTCCTGACTCGAACCAAAAGCTTTTGTGCTGCTTTCTCCCGCAACTTCCCCTAAAGCCCCTCCCCGAGTCTTGCTTCTGCTCTCTTTCTGTGTCCTTTCCTTCATTTTGTCCCTATAGGTTTCAAAGTCACGTCTGTTTTTCTGTCTAATTCTCGTCCTATAAGATCTGCTCTCCTCTTGACCCAGTTTCTTGCTGTGTTCATTGCATTCATATTTATTTATTTATTTTACGATTTTCTCCCAGTTTTTCATGAGTTTTTACTAATTTTATTTCTTTTATTTACTAATTATAAATATAATATTTTAATTTAAATGCTAGATTTTAATGAATATGTTCATTATATAGTTATTCAAAATAATTATATTTTTAATATATTGTAAATATTATAATGTAATTTATATATATATATATATGTGTGTGTGTAAGTAACAATTATACCAGAATTCATTTTTAAAGTCTCTATTTTGATTATTTGAAGAATAGCAATAAATAACAATAATTAATAAAAATTTATTTTACTAAAACAATGTAATATAGTTGCTATAAAATGTCATATGTAATGGAAAATAGAACTAGAAATAAGGTAAAATAGTGTAATTATTTTAAAATAATTTAAAAATATATTTTTTAAAGTTTATCAATTAAAATGTATTTTTAAAAAGAAAAGCATTCTTTAAAATAAATGCCAACTGGTTTTATGCTTTGTAATGTAATGCAGTGACATCCACACATTTGTAAGTGTTACTTAAGGGTCCACATGTTTTTTAGGGCCACTGTATGCATGCCCAAAAATAACTGTTATGTCATGTCATGTCATGATCGTTGTTGAAAGCTTTGCTTTGTAGCGTGGACGCAGCTTAGCATATGTGATGGGATGTTATTGACCGCATGACATACTGTGACCTCTTCATTATGCAATTAAAGGAGTTCATAGATGTTTATGAGAGTGTAAGTGTGATTCCAGGTCAGATAGTGTGGATGGAGAACCGTTTCCTGTTAGCGACTCACTCAACGCAGCTTGCAGAGGGAGTACAGAGCCTGGCGGCCAGGGCGAGTCACGTACACAAACGCACTCTCTCTTACTTAAATATCAACACTTATATTAAAGGGTTAGTTCACCCCAAAAATGAAAATTCTGTCATTAATTACTCACCCTCATGTCGTTCCAAACCCGTAAGACCTCTGTTCATCTTCGGAACACAAATTAAGATATTTTTGATGGAATCTGAGAGCTCTCTGACCCTCCCATAGACAGTAACGCAACTGAAATGTTCCCAGACAGAAACGTAGTAAGGACATCGGTAAAACAGTCCATGTGACATCAGTGGCTCAACTTCAATTTTGCAAAGCTACGAGAATACTTTTTGTGCACAAAGAAAACAAAAATGACGACTTTATTCAACAATTCTTCTCCCCCGAGTTACATCTTCTGCCATTTTGGAGAGTATCACAACGCATACGCATGCTTTACCCTAAGTGTAAACAACGCTGATTATGCCGATTACATTCATGCACGCGCTTTCCTCCCTAACGTAAACAATGACGATTACGTTCTTTGGTACTCTCCAAAATGGCGGAAGACGTAACTCGGGGGAGAACAATTGTTAAATAAATAAGTTTATTTTTGTTTTCTTTGCGCACAAAAAGTATTCTCGCAGCTTCGCAAAATTGAAGTTGAGCCACTGATGTCACATGGACTGTTTTACCGATGTCCTTGCTACG